TCATTTAACAAAGGAGGAAACTAAGGCCCAAGGGCCTACCTAGTAAGCAGCAGAGTTGGAATTAAGACCCAGGTTCAAGTACTTTGGGGATGAAGAGAAGGAGAAGATTGTCCATCCCTGCTATAGAAGCTTCCTGGGATGGAATATTCAGGCACCTGACCATCTGCCCCTTCTTGTCATCTCCTTCCAGAGATCCTGACTAGTCCAAAGCATGTTAATCAAATTGGGAAGAGGAGTGGAATCCCCCAAAAGAAGGACCTCATGCCACTCTGGTAGGCACTCTGAAAGGCCAAATATTTAAACCATGCCCACAGTAAATGCCTATCTCCTCCTCTGATCTATGTGGTTAGATAAAGGTGAAAGGCAGTGAGATACAGAGAAAGAGCCCTAGATTTGGAACTGAGAGGATAAAGGTGGGAATCCCCATTCCTCTGATAACCTGAGTGATGTTGGGCAAGCTACTTCTCCCTTATGGGCCTCAGTTTCCCTCATCTGTCAAATGAGAGGTTGGACTAATATATGAATTATTTATGTAAACACAATGACTACCATTTTGTTTTTCCAATCACCTAGAAGTTGTGGACTTCTGGAAGCTGGACTGGAAGTTGTAGACTTCCAGAAGACTAGAAGCTGTTTGAAGGCAGGGGAACATTGCATTTATCTGCTTATCTCTAGTGTCCAGAATAGGACCCAGCACTCATAAGTGATTAATAAATCCTGTTGGTGAGTTGATTGTATCTCTACCACCTAAACTCAGCACTTGGCATGTAGCAGGAGGGGAAAACACTTGTCTGGCCTCCAGGAGTTAAGCGCCGACTTTCATGCAGTAGAGTGTTTTGTCACATAAATGTAAAGATTCTGAGGTCCACATGCTCTGGAAGATGCCATAGGTGTGGAAGGGGCTTCTCCTCTGTGGCCCCGTCCTGCCTGATCCATCCCTACCACCTTTGCTCAAGCCCCTAAGCAGTCCCAGGACTGTTCTGGTGCCAAAACTCCCCAGTCTGTGGTCTGTCCAAACTCGAACACCAATAAGGTTAATTAATAATGATTAATAATTAAAACACTGCAATTCATCAGGTTTGCCCTCAATTAAGAGAGTTGCTTGTCTTTTGTCTCACAACCAGTGTGTGTCAAAGGCAGACCTTGAACCTGAGGTCTTCCTGCCTGGGGAAGTGACTTTCTGTCCACTATCTAATTATTAGGAAGTTTTGCCTTCCATAAAACCCAAATTTACCTCTGCAACACGTCCCTCCAACCCCTCGCTCCCACCCCTTATGACTCCTAATTCTGCCTTCTGGGGCCAGGCAGAGTAAATTTAATTCCTAAATCCTCCCATGGTTCCACATTGCCTAAGAGGTAAAGTAGACACCTTTCACCCTAGCATTTTTAAACCTCCACAAGGTGACCCGGCCCATCTTTCCAATGAGCCACCACCAGTCAGCACATTTTTTAAAAAAGAAATTCACAATTATTATCAAAGGAGATAATATTTGTAAAGCCCTTAGCACACAGTGCCTGGCACATAGTAGGCATTTGGTAAACATTTGTTTCCTTTCCTTCATTTCTGTTGTCCATCTTCCTATGAGCTCAGTGCCTAGGAGATAGTAGGTGTTTAATAACTGCTTGATGTAGAAGGAATAACTAGTCAAACTCAAGGCCATAGGATCTGGGGCCAGCCTCCAGGTTTCTCATACCTGCCCACAAACATGGCCCTGGCATAGAAGGTGCATCGGGTGGCATTGGCCATCTGCTCCTGCAGCCTAAGCAGGGACAAGTGGTCTGTTTCCTTCCCTAGCCAACAATGTAGCCCTCCCACTGTATTCAGGAATGACCCAGGGTGAGCTTGTTTCATGCAAATCAGGGGCTGCCCAGGGACCACAGGGGCATAAATAAACCTTGACCCCTATTCACACAGAGCCAGCACACCCTCCCCTCCCCAGGGCTTTCAGCACATTTCCCACAAACCCAGAAAGGATGCTGCTGGCATCCCCTGCCCCACCCCCGGTCCTTGGCCAGAGCATCATCAGATGAACATTCAGAAACCTGATCCACTCTATTGTGCTCAGATACCCCCCACACTGCAGACACCGGGGCCTGGGAGGGGGTGGAAGGGTGGGGTCTAGCTAGATCAGACAGCACTGAAAAGAAAGGCTGCTGTCCACTCCGGCAGGCCATCCAGGGGATTAATTCCCACCCAGATTAGCCCAGTGCTAGAAAAGGCGTTTTACTAGCTTGGCCCTTTCCCCAGTCACCCTCCAGAGCAGGGAGTGGTTTTCTTTTTTCTTATGCCTATCCTCAGTGCCTGGCACATAGTAGGCTCTTAATAAATGTCTAGACTATTGACTAGTATGTTATCACTCAGCCAGGGATCAGAGATCTAGAGTTGAAAGGTAGCTCAGAGGCAATGTAGTCCAATTGAGGCCTCTCAAGGAGGGGAAGGGACTTGTCCAAGGTCACCTAGGCAGTAAGTGAAAGGATTGGGAGCCAGGTGCTCTGTTAACAATCCCAGAGTTCTCCCCACTGGAAGCACTGCCTCTCACAAGAACTCTCAGGAAAGGTGCTTATGTACAAGAGAGGGAAAGGAGGCAGACTCCGAGAGCCCAGCCACCTGGCTCCACTTCCTTATCAGTGTCTTACCCCACTGTGGTTTACAGCTTCTGGGAGATAGTTTTGCAGCCCGAACTCCACCCACTTAAGAACCTTTAACCAAAGCTTTGGGCCTCTCTTCCTTTCCTCACTGGGGTCAACAAAAAGCTATTTCCTATTAAACCAAGGTGTAAGGGCATTCATTCTGCAATTCACTGTGGGAAGTCATTTTGGTATCCAGATAGCAGCAACTGGGTAATTGAGAAGTCATTCTAAATTATGCCTTTCAGGTAACAAAGGCGTCAAACATTCACAGCTTAACCCAGTTTGCAAAGCCAGGGAACTTTACCCCTCCCTCCCCCATTCCCCATTTTTTTATGCAGAGAGAGAGACAGAGAGAGAGAGAGAGAGAGAGAGAGAGAGAGAGAGAGAGAGAGAGAGAGAGAGAGAGAGAGAGAGTATGTATCCTCGGGCTATACTTTTTCTGACCTTTAAAATCCTTAATATAGAAATAGCCTTTGTCTTCTCAGTTATACCACTGAACATACGTGCAACTCAGTCTCAAAGTCTTTTTTTTTTTAATCTGTGCAAAGAAATGAAAATAAATTCCTTAGGGGTCCAGTCTAAAGTGTGGTCTAAAAGTTTATGGCATTCATTGCACACTGGCATCACAGATCATAGACGAGAGATGAAGGGATCTTGAAAGCCAAGTAGTCCAGTCCCCTAGAGGGAGGAAGTGATATGCCCTGGGTCATACAGAGAGTGAATGACAGACAGTATTTGAACCCAGCTCCTACGGATGGAGGCTTACATAACTGCTAGGCATTTCTTTAAAAAGTAACTTCGAGTCAGAAATTGTTACTGTAACCCAGGCAAATCCCTGAGAAAGAGTGCAAGCCCTGTCTCTGCTTGGCCAGTCTCTGAAGCCTCTCCGAGCCATTTTCACTGGCTTCCCCAGAGGCTAGCTGGAAACAGGAGCCTCCCTCCCCTCCCAGCTTACAATTGTCACACAAAACTCAACTGTTCCTGATTAGAGAGGGACTCTGCATCCAGAAAGCCCCAAGCTCTCTCCTCTCCCTCCCAATGTTGGGCTTGATTAGTAGACCCTAATACCTTCTCATGTCTCTGAGGGCTGTTTCAAATACAGGCTAAAGCCCAGCTCTGCATTCCTGGCTGACCCAGGTACACCATGCTCTCTGGAATGTTGTGTGTGTGTATATGTGTTTAAAGGTAAGAACGAATCTGTTTTTTATCAGTTTGGCAGAAAAAATACAGGGATTGCTCCATTTCCTGGTGCCTTTTTTTTTTTTTTTTTTTGGCTCTAGGTCTCCAAGGCAGCTGCCTCAGCGTCATGCCCATACAATAGCTGTCCTGTCCACACAACCAAGTATTTATTTACAGGAGGGAAAATAAAAGGGTTAAGTTGTTTCAAAGACAGACACCGCCTACTACCCCTACCCCACATCATGCCCACCCCCAACCAGAGTCCTGCTTTGGAAGAGGGAAGAAAACCCCTCCAGTCACTTCTTAAATCTAGGGGACCAATAGGGGAGTTCTTCCCTGGCTATGCTATAGAAAAGTGATCAGTGAAGCCCAGCGGCCAGCTCTCTCCTCCCTTTTCTAGGCAAGCCTATTTGATCTCCACATTTTCAAGGAATAAATAAAGGGGACACAAAGGCAGCCACTGCACTTTTAGAAAAGAAAAAAAAACCCAAGTTAGTCGAACTCCCTCTGCAAGGCTGAAAAAAAGAAGTTTCAGGGTCTGTCACCACAGCAATATCTTCAAAGGGTTATAAACCTATTTAATGAGGCCCTCTCCCCCTTCTTAAAACCTAATTATCCCGTTGTGAGCCGTTGAATGGGGAGGGGTTGGGGTGATGAATACTTTTTACAACTGCTCATTCTCTCCCAAAGTTACAAGGGACCCTTTAATTGCCCATCCATCCCTGACCTTCATTTCAAATGTCTGACTCCATAGCATCCCTGGGCTAGCCCAGGCACACAAACTTGGAGAAAGCTTAATGGGACTGACTCTTCTTCCACTTTCCACACAAATATTTTTAATGCATGTACAGCTGGGGCTAGACAGTCCTAAGAAAAGGGTAACCACTCAAAACAGATGCAGGCGAGTGATGGGGTGGGGGTGGGGCTGGGTAGCCGTTACCATTCCCACTTAAAACTTCTTTAAGTAAAAGATCTTCGACCCCAGAGCACTGAATTGAAATATATTCCAGACCCATTGAAACCTTGAATGCAAGTCTCAGCTTAAGAGATTCCCCAGTCACTGCCCCTGAGCTCTAGTAAATTACTGGGTGCTAAGTGTGGGGCAGTAGAAAACTTTGTGATCAGAGGGCCTGGGTTCAAATCTCACCTCTGTCGCTTAACAGCTGTGTGACCCTGGGCAAGTAACTTACCTTTGTGGGCCTCGGTTTCCACCACTGTAAAATGTTGCGGTGGAGTAGCCTCCATGGTCACTGAAGTCCGTCCCTTCCAGCTATAGATGACCCTACCTAGACCCGAATCCAGGCTGGTTTACTGGCAGTGTGCTCATTTCCCTACATGAAATTTGCGAGTCCCACAGGAGTTCGAAGGACAGAGCGAGAGGAGACACTGATCTGGGTATCCCGGGCATCCTTGGGTCCCACAGTGGGATGGAGACAGGCTGGTTTAGGCTTTCTTCCTGCCTGACCCCCTCTGGGGTCACTTTTCTCTCTAGCCCTCTGCTCTGGAGTCTCTGCTGGGCTCTGCTCAGGAGTCAGAGCCCACCTTGGCAGATCGAGCAGCAGCAGGCACGCCCGACAAAGATTGGAACAAAGAGGGGGAAACAACTTCGCGGAGTTCCCCGTCCCTAAGTGACTGCCGAAAGGTCCCTGCTAGGAGCGGGAACCGGGGCAGGGGAAGGGATGGGGGGCGTACACGGGGCAGAGAGGCTCCCTGTCCAGATCCCGGGCAGAGAGGATGGGGGAATGGGACTATTCAGAGGGGGATGGGGGGCCAGGGCCAATCAGAAGGGATGGGGGACGGAGACGGGCAGAGCACGCGAGCCTCAGTGTAGACTCGTCGGTGCAGCAAACAGAGGGCTCTGGCTGCCTCGCTGCCCACCCGACTGCTGCCCCCGGACCCCAGCGAGCGAGTGGAGAGAGGACCAGAAGCCGAGCCTTACCTGGGAGGCGCAGGCGGGCTGAGACTGAGACTGAGGCTGGGACTGAGGCTGGGGCTGGGGCTGGGGCTGGGGCTGGGCTGTCCGTCCTCCCGGATTCTGACCCTGGCTGCTGGGCAGCTCCACAAGACTGAGAGCTCGGCCGGGTAGCCGCTGTCTTTATACGGCTTGCCTGCCCGCCCGCCCGCCCTCCTTCCTCCGCGGGAGGGGACACAGCACCTCCAGCCGGCCGCTTCGCAGATCGCTGCCGGGTGCACTGGCACACAGGCACGCACACAGGCGCACGCACACACACACACACACACACACACACACACACACACACACACACACGAACATTCACGAACGCTCTGCATACAGACACGCACATACACATGCGCGCGTGACCCAACACACGCACGCCCAAGTAGACGTGCGCACACATGCATGCTCTACATGACACGTACATATGCAACAATGCACGCGCACGAACCCACGTGCAAACACCCCACATGCACACCCACACCCACACTCACAGAGACACATGGGAGCACTCACGGACCCTCTTTCTGATCTCATACACTGTTGCATTTCCAGGAATGTCAGCTCCTGGAGGAAGGGTTTTCCTCACTTTGGTCCGTGTATCCTCAGGGCCTGGTGCCCAGTAACGAGAGAGCCCTGGGGCCGTCTAGTTCAGCCCCTTCATTTTACAGATGAGGAAACTGAGGCCAAGAGTGGTGAATGGCCTACCCAGAGTCCCGTGCGAAGTAAATGACAGCGCAACACTTTGAACGTGGGGCCTCGGATTCCAAAAACCCTTTGTCCTGAACCTCTAAGGCATTTTCCATTTGAGGAAACTGAGACCCAGAGAGAGGGGAGCAAAATGCCCTAGAGTCATACATAGATTTAGAGCTGGAAGGCCAATCCCTCCTTTTACAGAGGAGTGCACTGAGGACCCAGGCGGTGAAGTCTCTTGCCTAAAGTAAGAAGGATTAAATCCAGACCCTCTAACTCCGGAGCCAAGGCTCCAACCATTGTGCCACACTGCTCCCTAATAAATACTCCTTAATAAATGCCTGTCGATTAATTGATTGATTGATTGACACGTGACATGCACGCCCACTGCCATTCGACCACCCAAAGCCTACTTGTCCATCCTCGGGGTCTGGGGGAAGAGAGCCTGCAATCTCCCTGACTAGGAGGATGAGGGCAGCGTGGTCCCCAGGCTCCTTCAGTTTACCTTGCCAAGGAAGCCACTAGCGTGGCCACAGTCTCAGGTGCACGGTCAGTAATCCCCTTAGCACACCCAGGTCCTGTCAGCACGAAGGCTGCCCGCAGCCTCTCTCCCAGCTGAGGAGGCTAATTAATTCCTGCCTTCCCCTAGGCTTCCACACTGGGGTTTGCATTAAGCTTATCGGCTACGATCCCATTAAGATCTATTGAACAAGAAAACAAAACTCCGGCTTCTTTTCCAGCAGAAGTTAACAGTTGGGCTGTTTGCAATGAATGGGAGCTGGAGGAAGTGAATACTGGCCAAAGGGGGTTGGGTGGGGGGACCGACTTCCACCGTGCATTTCCTCAGTAAAGCATAGAATTCCAAGTTCACGTTCCCCTTCGAGCCAGTCCACGCAGAAATGCCGCTCAATGGGTCTGTCCGCAGCGACCCACGCTTTTCTTCCATTTCGTCCCTCCCTGACTTTCCAGTCCACGGGCCTCACAGGGAGTTAGACTTTAACTCAAATGCCATTGGACGTTCTTGGACGAAGAAGGAACGAGTTTGGGGAGTTATGTCATAATTCCAGAGAGGCTGTTTATTTTTTTGGGGGGGGGGAGGGGAGGCAGCCCAGAGCCTCCGGAGCCAGCCCTTTAAAAAGAAGCCCAGGCCCCTAGGCCATGTGGTACTAGTGTTAAAGACCTAGCCGGGCTGCTCCTTAAAAGCCGGGCTTGCCAGGGGCTCTCCCCAAGGGATTGGCAGGTTTTTTGTTTTCTCTTTTCCGGTTTCAACTCTTTGCGGGGAGGCCTGCGAGGGCTGGCGGCTTAAGGGGGAGGGGGGGGGTTGGCCTGAACTACTCTGCCCTTTCCTGATAACATATAGAAAGTGTTGTGTAAACCTTACACTGCAGTCTCAATGCTAGCTGTAACATCTTTTCACACAGCCCCTCCTTCGCTATTTATTGAGTATGTGTTCCGTGTTGACTTCTCTGTGAATCTGCCGCCTCTCCCTGCAGGCTGTCAGCTTCTTAAGAGCAGGGACCATGCCCGCGTGTATCCTACATGTATCCCGGCCTAGCAAAATGCCTGGCATGTAGTAGTTGCTCAATAAATGCTTGTTCCATTGATTCAGCAAGTATTAAGGACACACTGCTTACCCCAAAAGCAGCAGCTGCCGGCTTTATCGATTGATTGGACAAAGTGGAGAATTCCATTGGATGGGCTCTCAGTGTCTAACTCACAAATGGCAGTGATGGGTTATTATTGGCCACCTTGGTCAGAACCCCCAAACCAACAAGGACCAAGGTCCATTTGATGAGCATTTGGAGTATTTGAGTATGTGCTAGTCACTAAACTAGGTGCTGGGAATACAAAAGACCAAAAACGAAACTGGTGCCTGATTCCAAGGAGCTTCTGTTACACTTGGATTAAAGAAAACCTGGGTTCAAATCCCCTCTCTGACACTTAGTAGTTGTGTGACTACTTCATCTCTCAGCCTCAGTTTCTTCGTCTGTAAAATCAGCATAAAAATAGTTCCCGTCTCATAGGAGTGTAGTGAGGCTCATGAAATAAAAATGTCTGAAAAGGCCTTTGTGAGATGTGAGCTATGGTATGTCTGAGGGGTATTGAATCATATAATGAGGTGTTTGTGGTGGGAAGAGTGAAGTCAAAAGACCTGGGTTCAAGTTTCCCTTCGGATACTCTTCTGTAACCTGGTCATTTAAGTCATCAAACTTCCCTACACTAATCCCTGAAGAAGCTATTTATTTCTTCATCTGAAAGGAAGCTAATTTGTGTAGGGCCTGCCTCCTAGGCCATCCTTGTGTGCTTCGAATGAGAAAATATCTATCGATCCCGTGGTTGGAAACAACGAAATAGAATCATAAGAGCCAAACTTCAGAACTGGAAGGAAGTTTTGTGACCATCAAGTGAAATCCTTTCATTTCACAGATGAGGAAAAGGAGGCTGAAAAAGTTTATTGTCCCAGCTCCCAAAGCTCTAGGAAGTGTCCAAGGGAGCATTGGAATCCAGGGCTGCCTCACCTCAATCTAACTCCCCTTCCTGAAGCTATTACTATTAGAAAGCTTTGAGCCTCAGAAGGCTCTTCACAAAATAAATATTTTGGTGTTTAAAGAAAGCTGGAAGGAGTCATTTCAAAGTTCCTCACCACCCTTTTCTGGCAGACAATTGATCACCTCCAAGAAGCTAGCATTCTCCACTCTCCCAATTTTCCCTCCTAGCTTTCTCTATTATTAAAGCAAGGAAACTGTATTATTATAGTGACCCATGGAAACCAATAGCCCCATTTCCTACTGCCCACACTGAACAGACAGGGGAAAAAAAAAACACTGTTTACAAACCCTGGGATTCTAGAAATAGCCTTTCAAAAATAGCCAGGAGTCAAAGTCTGGGCTATAGCTTATTTTGCCGTTTTCTTTCTGTAGGCAAGTGAGAATCTACCTGAATGAGATGGAAAGTGACCCTCTACCTCAGCAGTAATCTCTTCTACAAATTGAAAGCTCATTCTAAGTGTGCGGAAAACATTTATGATCTTTTTTTTTTTCCAGATCTGGGTAACTGATTAAGGGGTGAAAATTGCTCAGAATCAGTCACTGAACTCAGAATGTCCTCCCTAGAGGAGAAGATGTACCAAAAAGAAGCCAGTAACAGGATGTGTGCTCTCACCCAATGAGGAGAAGAGCAATCAGAGCTCTTGGGGTTGTGAGAAATGACTGTTCACTGGTGAACAGCCTTCCTGCCAGACACTCTGTCCTTCACTACCAGTGTGACTGCCTGGGGTCCCTCACCTCTGCAAATGGCAGGGTCCTGAGAGGTTTGGAAGAAATGGCCTCTGAGGTCCCGTCAGCCCCGAATCTGTGAGCCCATGTTAATAACGATGAAAATAGTGATAATGACTGACATTCATGTAGTGCTTACCATATACCAGGCACTATACTAAGCACTTTACAACTATTATCTCATTTAATGCTCACAACAACCGTGGGACAGAGAAAGATAGTATTATCTCTATTTTACAGATAAGGAAATTCAGGCAGACAGAGGTTAAATGACTTGTCCAGGGTCACAGAGATAATAAGAGTCTGAGGTTAGATCTGAACTCAGGTCTTCCTGCCCTTAGCCCTGTGATCTATCCATTTGAATGACCTTTGGAACAGGAGTTCATAGGACTTTTGAAGTTATTGAGTCCTAGTTTTACCGATCAGGAAACGAAGGCACAGAGAAGTACACAGACCTATGCTGGGTCACAGTAAATATCTGGGGAAGGACACTTCCCGACGTCTTCATAACTCCATGTCCAACACCCCATCTGTTGTCACCTCCTGCAGCACTTATGGTCAGACCTCATGTGTTCTCTGAGGGCCCACCTCACTGAGTAGGAAGAAGCTAAACACTGGTAAGTGAGCAGAGAAGTGGTGATTTCTTTAGCCTTCGGGGGATGTCTGGCTCTATCCTTCCTTTAGATTCCTAAAATTATCAGGCTGGAATGATCTTAGAGACCTGAGTGTGGGTGCCTTTGGAGAAGCTGTCCCTCTTCCCTGGACCTC